CTATACATGGTCGTTTTTTTCGGGTTAAAAAGCCTTACTATACATGGTCGTTTTTTTCGCCTAAAAACGCCTTACTATACATGGTCGTTATTTTCAGCTCAAAATGCCTTCCTATACATGGTCGTTTTTTTCGGTGAAAAAGGCTTTACTATCCATGGTCATTTTTTTCGGCTAAAAACGCCTTGCTATACATGGTCGTTTTTTTCGGCTAAAAACGCCTTTCTATACATGGTCGTTTTTTTCGGCTAAAAACGCCTTACTATACATGGTCGTGATTTTTGGGTTAAAACGCCTTCCTATACATGGTCGTGATTTTTGGGTTAAAACGCCTTACTATACATGGTCGTTTTTTTCGGCTCAAAACGCCTTACTATACATGGTCGTTTTTTTCGGCTCAAAACGCCTTACTATACATGGTCGTTTTTTTCGGCTCAAAACGCCTTACTATACATGGTCGTTTTTTTCGGCTCAAAACGCCTTACTATACATGGTCGTTTTTTTCAGCTAAAAACGCCTTACTATACATGGTCTTTATTTTCGCCTAAAAATGCTTGACTATACTTGGTCGTTTTTTTCGGCTAAAAACACTTGACTATACTTGGTCGTTTTTTTTCGGCTAAAAACACCTTACTATACATGGTCGTTTTTTTCGGGTTAAAACGCCTTATACATGGTCGTTTTTTTCGGCTAAAAACGCCTTAGTATACATGGTCGTTTTTTTCGGCTCAAAATGCCTTTCTATACATGGTCGTTTTTTTCAGGTTAAAACGCCGACCTATACATGGTCGTTTTTTTCAGGTTAAAACGCCTTCCTATACATGGTCGTTTTTTTGGGCTAAAAATGCCTTACTATGCATGGTCGTTTTTTTCGGGTTAAAATGCCTTACTATACATGGTCGTTTTTTTGGGCTAAAAACGCCTTACTATACATGGTGTTTGTTTTGGCTTCATTTTTTTTTTGGATAAAAACGCCTTTTTTTTGGATAAAAATGCCTTACTATACATGGTTGTTTTTTTTCGGGTTAAAACGCCAACCTATACATGGTCGTTTTTTTCAGGTTAAAACGCCTACCTATACATGGTCGTTTTTTTCAGGTTAAAACGCCTTACTACACATGGTCGTTTTTTTCGGGTTAAAACGCCAACCTATACATGGTCGTTTTTTTGGGCTAAAAACGGCTTACTAAACATGGCCATTTTTTTTTGGATAAAAATGCCTTACTATACATGGTTGTTTTTTTTCGGGTTAAAACGCCGACCTATACATGGTCGTTTTTTTCAGGTTAAAACGCCTTACTATATACATGGTCGTTTTTTTCAGCTAAAAATGCCTTCCTATACATGGTCTTTATTTTCGCTTAAAAATGCTTTACTATACTTGGTCGTTTTTTTTCGGCTAAAAACGCCTTACTATACATGGTCGTTTTTTTCGCCTAAAAACGCCTTACTATACATGGGCGTTTTTTTCAGCTAAAAACGCCTTACTATACATGGTCGTTTTTTTCGCCTAAAAACGCCTTACTATACATGGGCGTTTTTTTCAGCTAAAAACGCCTTACTATACATGGTCGTTTTTTTCGCCTAAAAACGCCTTACTATACATGGGCGTTTTTTTCAGCTAAAAACGCCTTACTATACATGGTCGTTTTTTTCGCCTAAAAACGCCTTACTATACATGGGCGTTTTTTTCAGCTAAAAACGCCTTACTATACATGGTCGTTTTTTTCGCCTAAAAACGCCTTACTATACATGGGCGTTTTTTTCAGCTAAAAACGCCTTACTATACATGGTCGTTTTTTTCGCCTAAAAACGCCTTACTATACATGGGCGTTTTTTTCAGCTAAAAACGCCTTACTATACATGGTCGTTTTTTTCGCCTAAAAACGCCTTACTATACATGGGCGTTTTTTTCAGCTAAAAACGCCTTACTATACATGGTCGTTTTTTTCGCCTAAAAACGCCTTACTATACATGGGCGTTTTTTTCAGCTAAAAACGCCTTACTATACATGGTCGTTTTTTTCGCCTAAAAACGCCTTACTATACATGGGCGTTTTTTTCAGCTAAAAACGCCTTACTATACATGGTCGTTTTTTTCGCCTAAAAACGCCTTACTATACATGGGCGTTTTTTTCAGCTAAAAACGCCTTACTATACATGGTCGTTTTTTTCGCCTAAAAACGCCTTACTATACATGGGCGTTTTTTTCAGCTAAAAACGCCTTACTATACATGGTCGTTTTTTTCGCCTAAAAACGCCTTACTATACATGGGCGTTTTTTTCAGCTAAAAACGCCTTACTATACATGGTCGTTTTTTTCGCCTAAAAACGCCTTACTATACATGGGCGTTTTTTTCAGCTAAAAACGCCTTACTATACATGGTCGTTTTTTTCGCCTAAAAACGCCTTACTATACATGGGCGTTTTTTTCAGCTAAAAACGCCTTACTATACATGGTCGTTTTTTTCGCCTAAAAACGCCTTACTATACATGGGCGTTTTTTTCAGCTAAAAACGCCTTACTATACATGGTCGTTTTTTTCGCCTAAAAACGCCTTACTATACATGGGCGTTTTTTTCAGCTAAAAACGCCTTACTATACATGGTCGTTTTTTTCGCCTAAAAACGCCTTACTATACATGGGCGTTTTTTTCAGCTAAAAACGCCTTACTATACATGGTCGTTTTTTTCGCCTAAAAACGCCTTACTATACATGGGCGTTTTTTTCAGCTAAAAACGCCTTACTATACATGGTCGTTTTTTTCGCCTAAAAACGCCTTACTATACATGGGCGTTTTTTTCAGCTAAAAACGCCTTACTATACATGGTCGTTTTTTTCGCCTAAAAACGCCTTACTATACATGGGCGTTTTTTTCAGCTAAAAACGCCTTACTATACATGGTCGTTTTTTTCGCCTAAAAACGCCTTACTATACATGGGCGTTTTTTTCAGCTAAAAACGCCTTACTATACATGGTCGTTTTTTTCGCCTAAAAACGCCTTACTATACATGGGCGTTTTTTTCAGCTAAAAACGCCTTACTATACATGGTCGTTTTTTTCGCCTAAAAACGCCTTACTATACATGGGCGTTTTTTTCAGCTAAAAACGCCTTACTATACATGGTCGTTTTTTTCGCCTAAAAACGCCTTACTATACATGGGCGTTTTTTTCAGCTAAAAACGCCTTAGTATGCATGGTCATTTTTTTCGGGTGAAAATGCCTTACTATACATGGTCGTTTTTTTTCCAGGTTAAAACGCCTTACTCTGCATGGTCGTTTTTTTCCACTAAAAACGCCTTACTATACATCGGGGTGTATAACATACGGCCGGAACCGGCCTGCAAGGAGGTTTGATCAGGCCCGCAGGATAATTTAAAAGTGAAAAAATGCATAAAAGACACGGAATGAATATTTTTAATAAGGTGCAATTCGTGGAATATCCCCTAGGAGGAGACAGTTTTGATCAGAGGAAAGACAACATTGTTTTGATCAGAGAAGAAGACAACAGCAGCCTCAGTCTGTCACTGAGACAGACCCAACAACACAGCAGACGCTATCAAGGACGTGAATACTTTATTCTTTACACATATTATAGCACACTCCTAATTTTGTAAGGTGGAGGCAGGGTTTACATTTAGATTTTATACGCTCGTGTAAATGGTTTAAAAATTCCTTTCTTCATAAATCTCGTTTCATCTTAAAAGTGCATGACTATATTTTTCAAGACCAATTATTTGTTAAGCTTTTGTGCCTTTGTACAGTCAGTGGGATCAGTTGCAATGTTGTGGTGCAACGTGACATCAGACATCAGCTCTTCAAGCACACCACACAGCTCAGTACTCACGCGTGTCCAAATGCAGGTTGGCGTCCCTTCCGCATGTCCTCCGAGTCTGGCAGGTACGCCTTTGGCCCAGTAATCTGACTAATCTGGTCAGGCAGAAAAACAAAACAAAAGTGGAAAGTCACACACTGTAGTCCATAAAAAAGCTGTTTCTTTTTTCTTTTTAACTTGAGTCATTATTCGTAAAGTGGCAGACTTTTCCTTTCAACCCGTCCATTTCCAAACGGGCCCGCACTCGCAACGC